GGGTCGAGGGACTGCGGTTGCCCGCGCGGCTGGCGGGTCTGGGGCGGGGGAGCCCTGAGGCGGCTGTTGGCGGCGACCGTTAGCGGACATGGCCACCTCAGGGTCGGCAGGGAGAGCGCGGGGCCCCCGCTTCGCACCCTGCCGGGGAGCTGTGCGCGGCAGATGCTGCCGCCCCTTCATTTCGGCGCTCTTGGGCGGCAGCCGGGAGGGGTTTGGCTGTGAGTAGCTTTCGTCGCCCTCGTTTCCTGCCTCATTGATGAGGATCTCGACAGTTCCCGGCGCTCGACTCCCAGCCTTGCAAAGTTTGTTCTCAAAGGCACTTAGGTGACCGCTTTCTGCAGTAAGGAAGGAGAGCTGCAGGCAGGAGGTGGGATTTTCCGAAGCCATGAGCTGCCCAGCTCCATCAGCACCAGCCAGGGCTGTGCAGTGACCCACAGGAACGTCCATTTCGGCGTGCCCATGACAGGGGGTTACCAACAGCCTTGTGAAAAACCTGGGATAGCGGCAGGGAGACAGCTGAGAGTGCAGCTTCTAGGTCTGACAAGTCTCCTAGCTGTGTCAAGCCTGTACGTACTTCCATGCTCTGAGCTCTTGTGGGAGCTGAGCTCTCATTGATATGTTGGACAACACCTCCAGCTCCTGCAGAAATAATCCTGTGGGAATTAGAAACATGCAGAGCCTGTCAGGGAGATAGGAGCACAAAGATTAGCGAAGAACTGGAATTCCTTGCTTTTTTCTTGCTCTCCGAATCCAACATGGGTTGGTACAGATGTAATCCTTTTCTCCCATGATAGCTCTTTGGGGGGGCTCACGTGAATTGACTTTTAGCACATTGGTGTTCACCTAAAAGGCGATTTGATGTTTTGCTGACAACAGCCTCAGTAGGTTGAACTGACTGTGTCCTCCAGCCCCGAAAAAGGGACTTGCACAGCAGAGCTGAGGTTTGTGCTGGTATATTTGCTGTATGCCCAAACACAAATTTGGTCATTCACAGCAGTACACTATGTACATTTGAACAAAATACTTGAATTTTTATTATATAAAAGTTCAATCACAAGCAGTTTGAAAGTTGCAAAATCTCCCTGCCATTGATTTTTGTCTTCAAATCATCTGTTTGAGGAAGGCCAGGCTGCTTAGATATGCTGACAGATAACCTTCAAAATTATCTTGTGATGACTCACCACTCCGATAAACCCTATTGACAGGTTCACAAATCAATGTCTGCTGATTAACACACAGTGAAGAAAGAAAAGCTCTGTCCTGTAGGTTTTGGCTTTAGGAAGTTTATGTTTTGGCACTGTTACGAGTTTTTTGTTCTGCAGAGATAATAAAAGCTATATGCAAATTGTCTTTCCCTTTCTGAAATAAAACTTGCCCGTTTTTCTTCCTGTTATATACAGAAAGAAGCATTGTTAGTAGTTATGTTGATTGGAACCAAGAAAGATTATGGCTGAATATATATCTTTATGGTGTCATTTATACGAGGGTGACTATGCAGACTCAGGTAATGTTGGATGAGGGATTATAGTTTGCTCCTAAGCACACACAAAATAATATTGCTGACTTTATTTAAGAGGCTGTATTTTGACACCACAGTAATAGAGCAGAAGCTTGCCTCATACCATATGATTTCACTCCTCCTCCCACCACCTTTTTTTTTTTACCTGAGCACTTGGAAAAATAGATTATCTCCTCCTGGTCTGAGCAGCTAATTAAGAGTTGAGCTTTGGGAGTTGCTTCCAACAGGAAGAAATATGAGTTGGATGTTTCTTCAGTTTCTGTATCCTGAGCATATCAGCACAGCAGGATGTACTTTTCCCTCACTCAAGCACAAGCCTGCAGTGCTCCCAGACACTTGCTCTCAGCTTCTTCACAGTGTTTCTGTGGCTTTTGCACCTTCATTGTCTTCCCAAACACATAGCCACAAATCCAAGCGAGAGTTTCAGCTGCTTCATTGGCAGTCACCTGTCAAGGAGGTATTTCACACAGGCCCTGTTCCATTGTTTCCTGGGGCTTTCAGCATAGCCAGTGCTTTGGGCAGTGGTTCCTATTATATGAACAAATCTACTCCCATTTCTTCCCAATTTTATATCCTAACTGGACCATTTAATGAACAACATGATCATCTCTCTCCATAACTGCCCTGTGTCCTGGCAGCTACTGAGACACTTTAGCAGCGCAGTATGAATAG